TGGTTTTCCTTTTGTCGGAGGTTGATTTGTTCTTGCAATATATGTTATGGTTCACATGAGTATTAGAAATGTACGAATATCGCATAATTCCTTCAAAAATACCTCGAACTAGGAATTTTACTTTATGTTTCCATATTATATGCCTTTTCCTAATATGGCAGAGTTTCAAGACAAGACGACTCTTCATTTTAACTAGAATAAAACTAAAGTAAACTCTATGCTTGTTACGGTCGTCATTAGCGTGGTATTAGCGTCTAGGAAGCTAATAATCGCCGTTGAGAATGCCTTTAGACAAGCGTCGTACCATCTCCATAAATGCAATAAAAATGAAGTGCACCAAGCCCAGTTTATTAAAAATTTGCTTTGAGAAAATGATCTCATACATATCAGTTTGAGAGGGACTGTTATAGATTTTGTAATTTAAGGGACGTTTTGTCGCATTTTTCTCAGGTTTGTCGGCGACCCGGTATATTTTGGTAGCTTTAAGAATAGCAAATGGTCACAGTCCGGTGTGACTGGGTTATTAATGAAGACAATTGATGCCCTGAGCAATGGAGGAATGTTTTGCTTGGGCAGTGTCATTAGCCTACTCCTTTTGATATCCAAAGTAGTAAATATAACAAAAACTCTATATTGAACGGAAATTCAAACCATTGACTATGTGAACACTGTATTTACGAGAGTTGTCGAATGGACATTCACACACTGTGAACACAAGAGGTATCGAATTCACAGTTGATCAAGATTATCTAACTTCATGCAAATCGTTCATTAACTGATCTCACTTCATTGACCTGCCTGTACCCATAGAAACGCTCAGTTAAACACTATTCAGTATAAATATCACCTTCAAATAAGATATTAGTCAGACGCTGAGAAGACTTGCTAAGACTACATCACTCTGTCCAAGCGAGCTTTCGTCCATTTGTCGTGTATCCAGCATATAACCTAAACCTTCAATATGGTGAGTGCTTTCATCTGCTTTAATAGGCCCATTATAACTGTCCGTCTCAGGCCCGAAACCAGACTTGATTGTTCGGGGGGACAATGGTGTATGGTGTTTAGTTACAGTAATGAAATTGCCCCCTCTTGGAATGTCACAATGTTTACTCAATCGCATTTTGTTTTGTATAAATTGAAATATTGAGATGAAACTAGAAAGGAATAGTATTGTATGCTAGGACAGAATGTGTCATAGGTTCGTATCTCCCTTTTAAACGTATAAATCTACCCACGGCAAATGCTTTCGAAAGGAAATAAATGAAACAAAATGTTAACCGCTCAGAATAAGTACATGTAGTTTTCTTGTGGTTGGCTCGTATTGACATTTAATTTATATCTGTATTCCTCAAAATAGTTATATCAGACTGTGATTTCTTATTTGAAAATATCTACCAGTATTCTGAAAAAAATAGAATCACTCCAAAATTTTATAACTGAGGGTAACTCCGTTATGAAATTTTGGAGTGATGCCTTCATTGATAATGTGAACGATAGTACAGTTCAGAAAGTCAATGCGGTTTTTGATAGGTGAACATGTTCTTATATATTTTTTCTTTTTTCAGCGTGAGTGTATCTCTATCCACATTGGTCAAGCTGGTGTCCAGATGGGCAATGCCTGTTGGGAGTTGTACTGTTTAGAACATGGTATCCAACCTGATGGTCAGATGCCTTCTGATAAAACTATTGGAGGTGGAGATGATTCCTTCAACACTTTCTTCAGTGAGACTGGAGCTGGTAAACATGTTCCAAGAGCTGTATTTGTTGATCTGGAACCATCAGTTGTAGATGAAGTCCGAACTGGTACTTACCGTCAACTCTTCCATCCTGAACAACTCATCACTGGTAAAGAAGATGCTGCTAATAATTATGCTCGAGGTCACTACACTGTTGGTAAAGAACTCATAGATCTAGTACTTGATCGATTGAGGAAGCTGGCTGATCAATGTACTGGTCTTCAAGGATTCCTCATCTTCCACAGTTTTGGTGGAGGAACCGGATCTGGTTTTTCGTCTTTGTTGATGGAACGATTGAGCGTCGATTATGGCAAGAAATCTAAGCTAGAGTTTGCTGTTTATCCTGCTCCACAAGTCTCGACTGCTGTAGTAGAACCTTACAACTCTGTTCTAACAACCCATACCACACTAGAACATTCAGATTGTGCTTTCATGGTGGACAACGAAGCTATTTATGATATCTGCCGACGAAATCTTGATATTGAAAGACCATCTTACACCAACTTGAATCGGTTGATTGGACAAATCGTCAGTTCAATCACTGCTTCACTCCGATTTGATGGTGCCCTCAACGTCGATCTTACTGAGTTCCAGACCAACTTGGTACCTTACCCACGTATCCATTTCCCATTGGCTACCTATGCACCAGTCATCTCTGCTGAGAAAGCCTACCATGAACAACTTTCTGTAGCTGAAATCACCAACGCCTGTTTTGAACCAGCCAACCAGATGGTCAAATGTGATCCTCGTCATGGTAAATACATGGCTTGCTGTATGTTGTACCGAGGTGATGTTGTTCCCAAAGATGTCAATGCTGCTATTGCTACCATCAAAACCAAGAGAACCATCCAATTTGTTGACTGGTGTCCAACTGGTTTCAAAGTAGGTATCAACTATCAACCACCAACTGTTGTACCAGGAGGTGATTTAGCCAAGGTCCAAAGAGCTGTTTGTATGTTGAGTAACACGACTGCTATTGCTGAAGCTTGGGCTCGTCTTGATCATAAATTTGATCTGATGTACGCTAAGAGAGCTTTCGTCCACTGGTATGTTGGTGAAGGTATGGAAGAAGGTGAATTCTCTGAAGCTAGAGAAGATTTAGCTGCTCTAGAGAAAGATTATGAAGAAGTTGGAGTTGATTCTGTTGAAGGTGAAGGCGAGGAAGAAGAGGGTGATGAATATTAAGATATTAGTTATAAATTACTACATTAAAGACCCAAATATTTTCAATACGTCAATTGTAGAACGATATCATTATTAAAACAGACCCTGAAACATGTTATTACTTAGTTTCGCGTTGATTCATTTTGGCCTGTGCTATTGAAGTTGGTATGTTCTCGACTCTGTGTAATGTTTCAGGTTCTGTATTAAATTTTCCTAATTGCAATAGTATAATTTTGTATAATCTATCGAATTAAATAATTTTCCTGTATGCTTGTCTTGAAGGCACTTTGGAGAAAAGTAGTTCTGACATTGAGTGCCCGTAAAGCTGAATCGTCTAGTCCGGTTTCACACGCATTCCCTGGAGTAATGTATCATCTAGGGTTGGGCGGCATACCGTGAAAAGCACTTTACCGCGTCATTGGATTTTCACGGTATTTGTATCACCAAAATAATCTGTATCGCGGTTTTACGGTTATACCGTCATGCGTGACGGTATAGTGACGGACTGATTGTATAGTGTCATCATAATTTTTTGTAAAATACATAACGAGGGTTTGGTGTATTAATGCTCGCGTAAGATTTAGCAGAATCATTAAAAATCGTTTTGGTTCAGTGAGTCAATTTTAATCGTAGTATACATGTATTGTGATACAGATCAGTAATGTATCGTCCCAACCCTAGTATCATCTCTCAAAGGTGATTCACGAACAAGGAATGGAAATCTTTCACAAGGGTTATTTCTATCATAGAGCTGGATTTTAACCAAAACCTCTTGACATTGATCTTTCCTGAATTATTCGTATCCATTTTACAGTTGGATCAACAAATTACTTAAGTTTAATGCATTTATTGTACTATTGAATTTTAAAGTTATGATACTGGTTAGGTCCATTGATGAATGTATACTCAAGTTTGAGCGAAATTTAAAATTTATGTTCATTCTAAAGTATTCATACACGTAATATTGAAATTGACCCGGATGTTCATAAATCTCTCATTTCGACTATAATGTAATACATATGTACTTTCGACCTTCTTTCAAGGTATACTACCTCTTAGGTTGACTAAAATTTGAAATTTTTAAGCTTAGCCAAAAGAAGGCTTAATCAGGGGACATAATCCCTCTATAATCCAATAAGCGGATAAACTAAGTAATAATTCATTAAACTAAGTAATTTTGAAACATGATTATTTAGTTTAATGGATATATCGACTTATATAGAGATTCTATTCTTTAGGCATGGCAACAGGTAAGTCCAACTGATGAACATTTAACCAATTTACAATTGACCAAGTTTGAGATATTAAATTTTATGTCCATTTTTAAGTAGTATACCTTTAAGTCAATGGATTAATATTGTATTTTTATTCCGGTTTTGATTATATCAGCATGTTCTCTGGAAAACCCAATGGCCCAGCTTCAAAAGGAGGAAATCGAAGATCGAACGACACCAGCCTACATATTTTTCGATTAGGACCTCTTGTAACATCGGGTCAATGCCTTTTAAAGGGACACAATCGGCCAATATTTGGTTATCAGCCGATCCCTATTTCAGCTATCTGTAATACTTTTCAGAATTCAAATCTGTCTGTTTCTCCCACAATATAAAACAAACGCACGGCGCCAATTTCGGGTGTCGTCACTTCGCCTTCGAAGGGTTTGTTATTTCCGCATGCTGTTATATGTAGGCTTTGTAATTAAGGCAATAACTGCATGTCAGAATTGTCAGATTAAAGCTGGTGATAAAACGAATTCGCTGTGGGATTTGCATGTTGAAAAGTGACACGGATAGTTAAAATAGGTCATATGAAAGAAACAGGAACATGTCAAAAGTGGGTTGTTACATAATCGAAATCCTGGTTCCGAATCCTGTTTATATTTTTAACAGGGAATCTATAGTTTATGGGGAAAAGGGCGATAAAAAGCATTGAAGTTTTACGTCCTACTTTTTGCTCTAGATCGGATCGGACTAATAGGGGAAGATATAGAAATAAGACCTTTACTGTAAAGACCTGATGCCTCAAGGCGAATAAATTAATAAAAACATTGTGGTTTGAAGATTTTATTGGAATTATTTTGTCACTGAAAAGAGAAAAACGTTCATAAACATTATTATAATGTTTTGCTTAAGTCAATGATCACAATTTGTCAACAGATAAGAACAGTAAAAGTTTTCTGAACCCGATAGTGTTATTAGTAAAGACGTCATGTAATGGGCAATGGGGATAGTTTTCTAGCATGGTGGAATTCTTCTACATTTCCATAAAGTTCATGTCTACGAACCAGGCATTTGCTGAACACGACTTTTCATTTAGAACAACTTTCTTGGAAAAGCTAGGAGCTCTATTCATTTACATTGGGACATTGGCTGAACACGACTTTTCATATGTTAGTTACCCACCAATACATCTGACTCTTGGCATAGTCCACGTTCCCATGTCACAGGTCGACAGTCCACCTGTAGAAGAGTCGGGAATGGTACCGGCGTCACATCTATAATATGTTCGATCTCCATTCAGTGTACTTCTTGGTATCATCGGCGTTAAGTGTAAGTCAGGGTACGCAGGTGGGTTGGTACAATTCACATCTATATAATGTCAAAAATAAGACAGGTTATGAAATATGAAATGAATGGAGTTTTACGTCCTACTCTTCTGCACCTTATTGGGCTAATGAAGATGAAGAACTCCATGCAGGCATATTTTGCCAGGAGAGCGACATAATTCTACCCTTTTGCGATTCCAAACAGACTATATTACATAAAAAAAATCAGACATGTTATAAAACGAATAAACAAATGTACTTTTACTAGTTGATTGTGTTCTGAAATAACTGTGTTAAACTAATTGTCCCCCTTTAACACTCTCCTATCAAGGTGATCAACTAAAGTATTTCGACTTTTCCCGCGTCAAAATGACTGCCTAAACATTTATAATGGATTACACTATACATGATTTTCTGCACCTTATTGGGCTTATAAAGATGCGAATCATTTGAAGTGAGACAATTGAAATTGCCAGCTAAAGTATTAACATATACAGCTGTCTTTGCGGAAAAAATTCTCAAGTAAGATTTGAAAATTATTATCTTTTAGGCCTACCTGGCCTTTATGGTTTTGTACCCACCCCCTCTTAAATTACTTATCATTGAGGCCTGGCACTGTGTGCCCCCTTAAAGATCACCGCATCCCCTACCCCACACGCCACTGTCTAGGACGTGTCCATAATGGCCCCAACCGATCTGGGTAATAGTCAACTTAACACTTTACCTTAATGACCCCAACCACGTCAAAATGGCCTTAAAAGTCAAAATGGACCCAAAAATTAAATTTTTTCATGGGACATATTGACTTTTTTTTTTTTAGACAATTTTGACCAAATGTTGGGGCCGTTATGCCAATAATCCATCAATCTGTCGAGGTCTATAACTGATTCCAAACAAGAGTGTTCATCAAAGATGGCCCAACTTACCGTCTTCGTGAATGCATTCACCAGGTTTTGACCAAAACCCCGTAGGTGAACACGAGATGAGAGTGCTGCCTTTCATTAGATAATTTTCATTACACTTGTACACTGCCATGGCCTTGACCTTTGTGCTATCATATTCGACTACCGCGTTCTCGACAACTGGTGGCGTTGGACATTCATTATCTGATAAAGTTCAAAGTTCAAAAGGTTAAAGTAAAGTAAGGTTTAAATTTAAGCTCATGTTCAAGTTTAGACAACGATAAGGTTGAAATGAAAATCCTTACGAGCAAAACAATTCCGTTGACTAATATCTCGTCCAAAGCGTGACAAAAAGCTCTAGTTCAAAGAAAAAATTAGCAGTGAATTCACAGCTACGTCATAAAACTCTGTAGTTTTAGTATAATTGCAAGAACCATAGACGCCTGTTATAGAATTGGAATGGTGGAAATCTGTTATCAGTGTGCCTTCATTACAATCCTTTTAACACGAAATTTTACTCACCAATACATTCCGATTGCGGTGCCGACCACTCCGTAGAATCCTGGCATGTTGAAAACATCAAACCACCCTCTGTACGTCCAGTAACACACGTGTAAAACACTCGATCACCTAGTTTTGATCCCATGATGTAAGGGAAGGCATTTAGGACAGTTGGTGGACTTTGTGCGCAAAAGTTTTCGATGACTGAAAAAGAATGATAAAAAATGTGGACATGCACGATAATATGGTCGGATTTGGTTACATACAATGTCTTTATTTAGGTCAGCGGCGCTTGAATAAATTAAGAAATTTACGCTCTACTACACGCCCAAATGACGACGGGCTACGCCATACTATGTGTTCTATGAAGGGATACGGCTTCGGGCACCTGTCTGTTTCGTAAGCATTGATGATAGGTTTGTAGGTCTAAACTGTTGTTGAAAATAAATCGTCTTGTAATTACATCACAAAAGCAAATGTCATGGAGGCCAAATGTTATTTGTGATAGTGAGATTAGTGACATAATGTGGACAAGTTAAAGATGCCGAGCCGTTATTTAAATTTAATTGAAATGGTGAAAATGCAAGAGGGGTCAATTTGTACTGGTCTGGCATTGATAATACGAGTGACTCATTTGACAGTACAGAAGACATTTTTGCGAAAGATGAACACATACCTTCACAAACCAGTCCGGACACCGACCACGTTCCATCGCTTTGGCAACTGGATGAGGTCGATCCTCCCGTCTGACCGTATCCTATATGACATTCATATACCACGGTAGAGGCATATTGATTATTTGTAGGTGCTTGAGCCACGTGGCTATTCGGAACTTCTGGGGGCTCGCCACAGTTTGTCACTGAAATGAAATGGTCAAGAAGATGATTCTTTTTATCAGACAGTCCTTGATCATGAAGAACTTATACATAAAACAAAAACTGGTGGAATATGTTAAATCTGTTAAAAACACTATACAGTGGACAATTAGGGAACAGACCATCCTTCTCTTGCGAATATAGACAGATACTTGCAGAAGATAGGTTCAAGATTACCACGTTATACGTAGGACGAGGGAAATATAGCAAATAAACTTTCTCTTGCAAATATCGAAAGTTTTTCTCTCAAGATTGCCACGCTATACAGTAAGCAATGCAGAGAACGTCGCAAGAAGAGCGAATATCGAGAAAATTTTTCTCAAGATTGCTCAAGACTACAACGCCATGAAGTAGTCAATGAGGGAATTATAGCATATAAGAATCTTACCTTCGCAAACGATATCGGAGGTCGTCCAAGCTCCGCTATTGAGACACTGAATATTACCGTCGCCGCCACTGATGGTAAAACCTTCACTACATCTATAGAGACCCTGGGCGAGCAGATCTCTTGACGTACTTTCAAAAACCGTATTGGGTATTGTTGCGGGAAGACCACACGCGGAAGCTGAAACAAATGGAAAAATATTAAATTCTTTCAAAATCAGCGTTCATCAGATTATCCCAAGTTAGCAAAACACGGAGAAAAGTACCTATCCAACCAAAATGTCTAGAAGAGTTAGCACAATTTATTCCTTAATATGCAGATCATCACTTCGGTATCGGTACTTTTCAAATTTGAACGCTTCATAGAATTTTGTAAATGCAGCGATTTGATTTGTACGCTAGCTGTTATAGCCAATCAGTGTCCTCGACACATGCAGCCAAATCGTTTAAGTCTTGTGTCGAGGGAGCGATCCATAGATAATGGAATTTGCCGTTCAGAATGTCTTGAATCGTTCATGCTATCCATTACCAATCTTGACTTGATTGGTCCCTTTCATTCAGTGGGACTTTCTGTGGTGATTTTTGGAGTATTAAGCTTTTATAGTGGTATACTTACCAGCGCAGGTTATAGTAGGCGTGCTCCAGGACCCATCGGCTTGACATGATGAAGATGGGTCTCCTTCCGCTATATAGCCGTAAGAACAGACGTAACGGGCTGTATTTGGGAAGGTTGTGTCCGTGTACACGGGATTCGCCAAGGATACAGTTGGTAGAGTATCGCCACAGTCCACGCCTAGAAAGAGAAGAAACAGTGTTCAACGTTCACACTTTTCTGCATCTGATTGAGCTAATGAAGCGGGCAACGCAATGCAGTGTGCGGTGAGGCAAACGTTGCCAGGGAAGCGGCATTAGGACCTCTTTTGTCAACACTATCAACGGATCTTTTACGCCATTTAAGGACTATTTTGAAAACTTACATTAATGCAAATGAAATATGACGCGGACTTGTATATTTGTGTCCAATAGGCTTATTTTGTTATTGTAAATCCTTACTGTACAGCAACTTTGATTAATCGGTACAAATTCTCATTGGGGTCCGATTCATAACATAAACATAAGCAGTCCATTTTACTTTTAGGTATTTTAAGTAGTAATCAACACAATATAAGTTCAGTCTGTAGTATATATTACTATTTATTTTACCTACAGTATTGTTTGAGAAGAAATATCTTTGCTCGACAATACCTGTGCATAATTCACCAAGCTCTTCCCACTGTCCGTATGATTGACACTTGGAGACCATTTTATTACCAATGGGAATGGTACCAGTGATACAGGTGTAGGTAGCTACTGCACCCGGTGTTGTGGTAGTGTATTCAACTTCAGTGTTCTCGATCTCATATGGCGTTCCACAGACAGTTGCTGAAATGAAAAACACTACCTCAAAGCTTAACAGAAACTAACATCACCCTGTAGCTGGATGGTGTTCTAAGGATGACCCCTCCACATAAAATGATGTTGAACAAACACTATTACATCCTTGGGATCCTGGCGATAATTTTATGCAGACAGTTTTCAACTAAGTGGACAGATTAATGAAGGATGGCACATTCAAGGTCACTTGATTTTCACCCGTCGTGATCTGAACATACGACCAACATTCTCCCGTACAAGCGGTGCAATAACTCACAAGATCAGATGAAGCCGTTATATGTTACATAAAGCAGCGGAAGCTTAGCTATAAACCTACCGGTACTATAAATGAAAAAGAGGTCCTGCCGTGAAATAAACTAAATGCGGTCTGAATTGTTAACTCTAACATGAATTATTTCCCTTATTGGAACTCTTTATCTAATAACTTGTCTTTCCTGTACACCTTTGAAATGTGGTGGAACAAATAAAATGCGAGTACAGAGTGTGACTTATTTTCGATCTCCTAGTCGAGTGTTAGCTTTTAAACCCAAACAGGACCATCAATACTTACGTATACAATTCATTTGATTTGGAGTCCAGGTTTTATCTGGCTGACATTCAATGAAGTCAACACTGTCTGACGCTTCCATGAATCCAGGGTCACACACGTAATAAGCTTTCTGACCATATTTGGTTCCCTCTATATAATCCTGATAGCTGTTTGGAGCCGCATCGCCTGTTAGACCACAGTTCTTCACTGAAATACATAGTTGAAAACATAGATGTGATTGTCAACATGGCAACGTATCATCTAAGAAACCAGAGCGCACCATCGGGACCGGTATTGTTGGAACGTTGGGGTAAATCATCATGCGTGCTTGCATGGCAAGGCCTTATCGTTTTTTCAGTACACCCAATTCCCATGTAAGACTGGCTTTGACAACTCTACAGAACAGTTTTTTACGTCTTTGATGTGGACTTGTTAAAGAATCGTCTCGCCCGTGTTCATTCCGGATTTAATACATGTATTTTCAATTTCCAACGCATCCAAAATGATGGGCTAGATGGACCGTAAGCGGATGTTAACTGAAGGCTTAAGACATACCATGTATTTATCATCAGTCTTCTTAGAAGATGATTCGAACTTAAAACACCTTATCACTAACAAGCATCAATTCAACTTGCTAGCAAGGTCCGAGCTACCTCTCTCGCCATACGAGCGAATACCTACGTGAGCATGTGATAAGTGGAATTGACCATTGTCCATCATCTTGGCAAGTTGTTTCCCCTGTTCCAGTCTGTAGAAATCCGGTAATACATCGATATTCCCCCTTTTCTCCTAGTCCAGTATCACTTATCAACTTAGCTGCATTGGGCACGAAGAACTTTGGAATTCCGCAATCCACTGTAAAGCAGAGCAAATGAAGTTTAAGGTCCCAATCTGTATCACCCTAGATCGAATTGTTTGGTTGCTTCACGAACTCAATGGCAACGTCCATATAAATCGGTGATATTTTGCTATTGAAAGGGGTTTTCTTTACTTTTCATCGATCTCAAAAACTGTTTATAATATGCAGGGACTTGTGCGATATATAGCGTCAAAACAGTTAAACCTACCTAAGCAAGTGATATCGGGTTGAGACCAGGTTCCATCTAGTTCACAGACGCTCTCGCCGTCACCAACTTGTTCAAAGCCCTGATTACAGGCGTATATAGCTATTTTACCATACGAGGTCTCTGTGAAAGTTGGTGTTGTATAAGGAATATTTAGATTGGTTTCTCCGCAGTCGATAGCTGAAAAAGTTATAATATGGATCCATTAGACGAAATCATTCACGTTCCAAATTTTACAGTTCTTACGAATTTTGAGAGCAGTTCTCATGATCAAAATCGTGAATGTGGAAATATATAAGCAAACACAAATTGCAGCAAAACGTATCGCCGAAGTGAATGAATGTTAATCAGGTGACTGTCGAAAAGCTGTTTCCATCGATAATCGTAAACCACTTTGATCTTTTTCGCCGTTCCGTCCGTTCATGGTGTTGTTGATGGTTTTGGTGGAATTGTTAGACCGACCGTATAATTAGAACAGACCTTCACAGGTTATAGTGGGAGTGCTCCACTGTGTGTCCGCCCCACAAGTCGAGATACCATCACCAATTTGACTGTAACCAGTAACGCATACGTACACAGCTTGCTCTCCGTTCGTAGTCTCGCCAAAAGTAACTTTTGCGTTTTCAACAACCAACACCGGATCGCCGCAATCAGACGCTAGAAGAAAAATGAAATGAATTTTTTTTTTGAGTCTTACGACCTGATTTTCTGCATTTTATGGGCTAATGAAGACGGGCAACTCCATCCGGGGTGCAATGGGAAATTTTGCCAGGACAGCGGAATTAACTTAAAGCTGACTTTCAGAATAGACCATTTGGTACATCACAAGTTAGAAATTACCATACTTACAGACGCATTGAAAGTCACTTTGAGGTGGCATCCACGAAGGTTCTATACAGAACAAGGCGTTGGTGGTTCCTGGAACGGCGGTAAATCCAGGCAGACAGTAGTAAGAGCTGACTTGTAATGAGTCTATTGACGACACATTAAATCCGGTGTTTTCAATATACGGTGGTATCCCGCACACTGACGCTGGAAAAAAAAATTGCAAACGATATTCATCTTCTACTTCTCTAAGTCGACCATCGAGGGTTCTTGCACGGCGTGTCGAATATGGGGTCTCGGCATATTTTCTCATCCGAACGACTAGACCATTTTTCCATGTCAACACCTCCGATCTCCATCACTGACAGGGGAAAAGCGGGTTGAAAAATACCAAAGTATTATCTCGACTTGTGCCGGGATTGAACTCCGGACCTTCATTATACTTTTAATGTCTAACCCACTAACCCACCATGGTGCCCGATTCCAATATGGTGTTACTCATAATTACTTACCTAAGCAAGTAATATCTGGTGTGGACCATGTGAAACTCGCCTGACAGACCGATTCCAAGTTGTCCCCTTCAGCTTTATAACCAAACTTACAAGAGTAGGTCACTATGTCCCCATACAAGGTGGTGGTAAACTTCGGGACAGTATGCTCAACCTCGGGAACGCTAGATCCACAATTTATCACTGGAACAAAAAAAAAGTAGGTAAGTGATAAGTATTATGGGAATGATTTGAAGTGGGTTCTTAAACTCTCTATCGCGGATATTGATAGTATCTATTTACACCATTTTTCCAGTCAGACGTCTGTGGTTCCTGCAATTCTGAGGTGGATCTCTTACAGGACATCAAGTCTGGCTGTGGGCCTGGTTCTTGCTTGCAATATCAAGTAATATAGGTGGATCAGAAAAATAAGTGAATTCAACAATCAGGAGATATCAAAGCTTTACCAAAGTATTTGACAATAGAGTCACTTACTGTTTCTATCGATGCAAGTGAAAGATGGAGATGACCATTGTTTATCAGCGCCACATGTGGTCGAGCCGTCACCGCTTAAAACAAATCCTTCTTGACAAGTATAATAGAGTGTTGATCCAATCGAAAAATCTCCAGTAGGGGTGATAGCGTTGGCTACTGTTAGAGTCGGCGGATCACAACTTTGTGCTGAAAAGGATTGAAAGTCATTATTAGTTTTAGTATTAGTTATTATTTTAATGCTTCGATGAAATGATATAATGTATGGGTAACTTTGTCAGATATCAATTTTAAGGATTTCATTGATCGATTAACAAGGACCTACCTTCACAAGTGATGGTTGGTAAAGACCATGTGCCAGCGTCACCACACGAGCTTTCTCCATCCCCAGAGACCTGTTTATAATTATCTAGACAAGTGTACACTGCCGTCGATCCATATGTGGTATCAGTAATCACCATTTTTGTGTTTGCAACGACTAATGCTGGTTCTCCACAATCGATCACTGCAAGACAAAACCAAATGGTCTGAAGTTTAACGTTCAGATGGCCAGTGTCGTCTTACAATACTAAGTGAACTTTGGATAAAGATCGCATAGTGTGAAACTCTGTGTAACAACATGTTTCAAGTTCTGTTTTCATACTTCTAATTCTATATTGCTCTACAGTGGTATTTAGTACTATTTTTAAAACAGTGAAAATATTTTATAATTGTAAACGAAGTTTGTTATCTTAAACTTACCTTCACAAGTAAACGTAGGAGGGGGTTGCCATTCCCCAATACATAACAGCAAATTGGAATTACCAGTGTCTCTATATCCAGGCAAACAGTAATAATTAGCCGTTATAAACCCCGTTCCTGTTATTGTCAACCCGGCATTGTCCACAGTTGGTGGCAAACCACATTCCGTTACTAAAATAGTCATGAAATAAATCCCAAAATTAAAAATAAGTAGTATAAACTAGAAAATAGACAGTTCGACGGAAGTTGCAGTTGCAATGGGACCATAGATGTTACTATAAATAGGTCTGACTCAACAACGGTCAATATTCTCGAATTACCAACCCAACGGCAGAGAACCACCAAAATGAACCAATCCAACTACCAACGACTACCTACGACTGCGATAGTCAATCATAACAGTGCACAGGAGTCGGGAACGCCATCTGTCTCTTATATTACTTACATTCACAGCTTATATCCACATCAGACCACCTGAAGTCACTCTGACAAGTTGAGACCCTGACATCACCACTGGCTCTGTACCCAAAATCACAAGTATAAACTACGGTCGACCCATAATAGGTTGTTGTATATTCTTTTTGAGTATTGGGTACCGGCGGAAAAGTTGTCTGACAATTGATGACTGAAATAGAAGAGTAAAGAGATATGCATGTAGTCATCTCATCCCAAGCGAACCAGCTGTAAGTGGGTATGGATAATCCAGAGAAAGATCAATACCAAGGTGTTGAGCCAAGAGGACTGGCCACGATCAGCCGGGGGAAAGGATCGTGAACCTAAGTTATCCTTGTGCCTTGTGAAAAGTGTTTCTTTTCGTTCATCTCATACGATGGACTGACACATGTTCCGGATAAACAATCCTCATCAGAACAAGTTGTTTATGGTCTATGAAGTAAGTCAACCTACGGAACAGGTCCGCTCAGGGTGCGGTGTAACTGTTTTACCAGCGGAGATGACAGTTGCAAAGCGTTATTGAGATTCTCTGGCAAACACTATCCACTACCATAGCACTACCACGACTTCTATCGAAATAAGAGAACAAACTTCGACTTAAGCGAGAGCAAGAGGGTTGAGCCTGCACGACAATATTTTGTGAATGTGCAATGTGGAGCGGCGTGGTTTAATCTCAGACCTATCTATTCCTCGGTAGTTTCCGTAAAGGTGAATCTGTCTCGGCAATGAATGGTAGATTTCATTGTGTCTTCTGGGATGAGACTCTATTCCACGTATTAGAACGGAACAAACTTTAAAGCCACGAGAAAGATCTCACTTACAAATCTGATTCAGACAAGAAAAGGCTGGTGGTGTCCATTGCAGGTTGGCTTGACAAGTTATTGTTCCGAATCCCATTAATACATATCCGTCTTCGCAAGAATAGGTCGCAGATGATCCCACCAATGCATCAGTAACCGGAGCTATTGTATTTGCTGGAACCACTGGTGTTCCACAATTTGGTAGTTCTGAAAAACATCAAATCAGGCTTTAAATTTCTGACCTTATTCACACGTCGGCCATATTGAATCCAAAACGAGGCTTACATCGCAAACAAAGGTAACGTTGTGCGTTGTGTCACTGCAGTAAATCGCCACCTTGACGTTTATAAAGCCTTCTTCTCCAGTCATAGTTACGTAGACTGAAACAGCAAGTAAACCAAAAAAAATTATTATCAATCCTAACCTTCCTCGGTGCATGTTAAACTGGGCTGCGTCCACTCCCCTGACTCTTGGCAGGTAATCTGAGCAGTGCCTGATGGATTTCCTTCTTTACAGCTATAAATGGCCATGCTACCGAATATCGTTTCCGTAGAGGAGACATCAAATTCTGGGATATCTGTTGGTTCACCACAGTCAACGACTAATGTAAAAAATACATTATTAGATGAAAAGTCGAATCCTCGAATGCGATTGACATTAAATACTTTTTTACGTTACGTCATTATTTTTTTACACCAAATTGAAGCAACCGGCAACGCAATGCAGTGTGCAAAGAGAGGCGTTTTACCAGTAATTAGTCTAGTGAATTCGTCAAGAGAACTTTAATCATGTCTAACAATGGACAGCAACACTAGTCTACTCTTTTACGATTTACTGTATAATTGCCGAGGGACCTTTAAGTTAACGTGTACATCCTGTAGTAAACGGGACCTCAGTTATTGTCCACTCCGACTGGCATCACTCAAGAAAATGTATTAACTTACCTGTACACGTCAACGTCACAGGAGTCCAATTTCCATCTTCTCCACAAGTTGTGAGTCCAGATCCCGATTTGGTATATCCTACATCACAAGTATACGTCACTTGACTTCCAAAAGTGGTTGCGTCTGCTTCAAAACTGGCATTGTCTATTATAAATGACGGGGTGTTGCAATCTTTAACTGAAAGAAATGATATATATATATAGATTTCGTATTCTTTTGAATGCAGACATCACAACTACTCAAGTTTGGTACGGGCTGATCCTTTTGAAGGATTCAATACCTGTCAAAAATATATGATCACCCAGCACCTGCACACACAGTCTCCTTTGTTTCCTGAACTTTGATAAAGAATCGATGCTACTTACTGATACAAGTAATATCTGGAGTCGTCCAGGATCCTGTTTCACTACACTCCATTTGTCCATTTCCGGTTTGAGTATAACCCAGATTACACCCGTACGTTGCTGTCTCGCCATACGTTGTCCCCGAATAATCAGGTGTGGCATTTCCAACAGCATCTGGCGTTCCACAATCCTTTACTATAATGAAAAAAATGCCGTAAGGGTGGGATGGGAATCTTGGGATGAGGGTGGGGGTGTTATGTACCTGAACGCAGTCTCCTTAGCTCCTTGAAAATGGATAAAGGATTAATACTACTTACTGATACAAGTAATATCTGGTATCGTCCAAGATCCTGTTTCACTACACTCCATCTGTCCATTTCCGGTTTGAGTATAACCCGGATTACACCCGTATGTTGCCGTCTGACCATACGTTGTTCCCGAATAATCAGGTGTGGCATTTCCAACAGCATCCGGCGTTCCACAATCCTTTACTATAAATCGAAAATGTTGGTTCAATATACCATATACAGATACTACCAATGACGCCAGAACACTATATTAAAGTAACGTGCAGTACCTTGTCAAACTTGGATCCGGCTTGTTTTGGTTGCAAGATAGCTACACTTGCCACACTGACAACTATGCTAATATTTTTTAATTCAAATCCAAGAGCTCTAAGCGGTTGAAGAAAAACCTTACTTGTACAGATTATAGTTGGTGTCGACCAAATTCCATCCTGACATTGAATCTGGCCATCCCCGGACTGATCATAGCCAGTTCTACAGGTAAAGATACCAGTGGTAGCATCAGATTCTAGATCAGCACCTTCCACAGCATCCGGGGTACCACACGTTTCAGATACTAAAACAAAAAGAATCTTATTAAGTCTTGCGTGAAAAAAGAAATGAAATGACACATGGTCAGACCTTGCTTCTAGATCACATATTTCGAGGAGTGGTGCCGCCATTTATCAGCGCTAGATAGGCAATCTACTTACTGATACAAGTTATATCTGGAGTCGTCCAAGATCCTGTTTCACTACATTCCATCTGTCCATTTCCGGTTTGAGTATAACCCGGATCACACGCGTACGTTGCCGTCTGACCGTACGTTGTTGCAGAATAATCAGGTGTGGCATTCCCAACAGCATCCGGCGTTCCACAATCCTTTACTATAAATCAAAAATGTTAGTTCAATTATACCATATACAGATACTACCAATGACGCCAGAACACTATATGAAAGTAACGTGCAGTACCTTGTCAAACTCGGATCCGGCTTGTTTTGGTTGCAAGATAGCTACACTTGCCACACTGACAACTATGGTAAAAAATTTTAATTCAAATCCAAGAGCTCCAAGATTTGGGCGTATAAAAATGATAGACACATGGTCAGACCTTGGTTCTAGATCACATATTTCAGGAGACTGTCGTCGCCATTTATTAGCGCAAGATGGACAAATCTACTTACTAGTACAAGTTATATCTGGAGTCGTCCAAGATCCTGTTTCACTACATTCCATCTGTCCATTTCCGGTTTGAGTATAACCCGGATCACACGCGTACGTTGCCGTGTCACCGTACGTTGTTCCAGAATAATCAGGTGTGGCATTTTCTACAGCATCCGGCGTTCCACAATCCTTTACTATAATGAAAAAAATTGCTGTCATGTAAGGGTGGGATGGGGATCTTGGGATGTGGGTGGGGGGTGTTATGTACCTGAACGCAGAGTCTCCTTAGCTCCCTGAACATGGATAAAGAATTAGTACTACTTACTGATGCAAGTAATATCTGGAGTCGTCCAAGATCCTGTTTCACTACACTCCATCTGTCCATTTCCGGTTTGAGAATAACCCGGATTACACCCGTATGTTGATGTCTCACCGTACGTCGTTCCAGAATAATCAGGCGTGGCATTTTCTACAGCATCCGGCGTTCCACAATCCTTTACTATAATGAAAAAAATTGCTGTCATGTAAGGGTGGGATGGGGATCTTGGGATGTGGGTGGGGGGTGTTATGTACCTGAACGCAGAGTCTCCTTAGCTCCCTGAACATGGATAAAGAATTAGTACTACTTACTGATGCAAGTAATATCTGGAGTCGTCCAAGATCCTGTTTCACTACACTCCATCTGTCCATTTCCGGTTTGAGTATAACCCGGATTACACCCGTAAGTTGCCGTCTCACCGTACGTCGTTCCAGAATAATCAGGCGTGGCATTCCCAACAGCATCCGGCGTTCCACAATCCTTTACTATAAATCGAAAATGTTAGTTCAATTATACCATATACAGATACTACCAATGACGCCAGAACACTATATGAAAGTAACGTGCAGTACCTTGTCAAACTCGGATCCGGCTTGTTTTGGTTGCAAGATAGCTACACTTGCCACACTGACAACTATGGTAAAAAAATTTAATTCAAATCCAAGAGCTCTAAGATTTGGGCGTATAAAAATGATAGACACATGGTCAGACCTTGCTTCTAGATCACATATTTCAGGAGACTGTCGTCGCCATTGATAAGCGCAAGATGGACAAATCTACTTACTAGTACAAGTTATATCTGGAGTCGTCCAAGATCCTGTTTCACTACATTCCATCTGTCCATTTCCGGTTTGAGTATAACCCGGATAACACCCGTAAGTTGCCGTGTCACCGTACGTTGTTCCAGAATAATCAGGTGTGGCATTTTCTACAGCATCCGGCGTTCCACAATCCTTTACTATAATGAAAAAAATTGCTGTCAGGTAAGGGTGAGATGGGGATCTTGGGATGTGGGTGGGGGGTGTTATGTACCTGAACGCAGAGTCTCCTTAGCTCCCTGAACATGGATAAAGAATTAGTACTACTTACTGATGCAAGTAATATCTGGAGTCGTCCAAGATCCTGTTTCACTACACTCCATCTGTCCATTTCCGGTTTGAGTATAACCCGGATTACACCCGTATGTTGACGTCTCACCGTACGTCGTTCCAGAATAATCAGGTGTGGCATTTTCAACAGCATCCGGCGTTCCACAATCCTTTACTATAATGAAAAAAATGCTGTCATGTAAGGGTGGGATGGGGATCTTGGGATGTGGGTGGGGGGTGTTATGTACCTGAACGCAGAGTCTCCTTAGCTCCCTGAACATGGATAAAGGATTAATACTACTTACTGATACAAGTAATATCTGGAGTCGTCCAAGATCCTGTTTCACTACACTCCATCTGTCCATTTCCGGTTTGAGAATAACCCGGATTACACCCGTACGTTGCCGTCTGACCGTACGTTGTGGCAGAATAATCAGGTGTGGCATTCCCAACAGCATCCGGCGTTCCACAATCCTTTACTATAAATCGAAAATGTTAGTTCAATTATACCATATACAGATACTACCAATGACGCCAGAACACTATATGAAAGTAACGTGCAGTACCTTGTCAAACTCGGATCCGGCTTGTTTTGGTTGCAAGATAGCTACACTTGCCACACTGACAACTATGGTAAAAAAATTTAATTCAAATCCAAGAGCTCTAAGATTTGGGCGTATAAAAATGAAATGACACATGGTCAGACCTTGCTTCTAGATCACATATTTCAGGAGACTGTCGTCGCCATTGATAAGCGCAAGATGGACAAATCTACTTACTAGTACAAGTTATATCTGGAGTCGTCCAAGATCCTGTTTCACTACATTCCATTTGTCCATTTCCGGTTTGAGTATAACCCGGATAACACCCGTAAGTTGCCGTGTCACCGTACGTCGTTCCAGAATAATCAGGTGTGGCATTTTCTACAGCATCCGGCGTTCCACAATCCTTTACTATAATGGAAAAAAAAATGCTGTCAGGTAAGGGTGAGATGGGGATCTTGGGATGTGGGTGGGGGGTGTTATGTACCTGAACGCAGAGTCTCCTTAGCTCCCTGAACATGGATAAAGAATTAGTACTACTTACTGATGCAAGTAATATCTGGAGTCGTCCAAGATCCTGTTTCACTACACTCCATCTGTCCATTTCCGGTTTGAGTATAACCCGGATTACACCCGTAAGTTGCCGTCTCACCGTACGTCGTTCTAGAATAATCAGGTGTGGCATTTTCTACAGCATCCGGCGTTCCACAATCCTTTACTATAATGAAAAAAAATGCTGTCAGGTAAGGGTGAGATGGGGATCTTGGGATGTGGGTGGGGGGTGTTATGTACCTGAACGCAGAGTCTCCTTAGCTCCCTGAACATGGATAAAGAATTAATACTACTTACTGATGCAAGTAATATCTGAAGTCGTCCAAGATCCTGTTTCACTACACTCCATCTGTCCATTTCCGGTTTGAGAATAACCCGGATTACACCCATACGTTGCCGTCTGACCGTACGTTGTGGCAGAATAATCAGGTGTGGCATTCCCAACAGCATCCGGCGTTCCACAATCCTTTACTATAATGAAAAAAATGCTGTCATATAAGGGTGGGATGGGGATCTTGGAATGTGGGTGGGGGGTGTTATGTACCTGAACGCAGAGTATCCTTAGCTCCCTGAACATGGATAAAGGATTAATACTACTTACTGATACAAGTAATATCTGGAGTCGTCCAAGATCCTGTTTCACTACATTCCATCTGTCCATTTCCGTTTTGAGAATAACCCGGATTACACCCGTACCTTGCCGTCTGACCGTACGTTGTTCCAGAATAATCAGGTGTGGCATTCCCAACAGCATCCGGCGTTCCACAATCCTTTACTATAATGAAAAAATGCTTTCATGTAAGGGTTGGATGGGGGTGTATTTGAAGGCCAATCTTGAGATGTTGGTGGGGGTGTTCATGTACCTGAACGCAGAGTATCCTTAGGTCCCTTAACGTGGAAAGAGAATCAATGCTACTTACTTGTACAAGTAATATCTGGTGTTGTCCAAGATCCTGTTTCACTACATTCCATCTGTCCATTTCCGGTTTGAGTATAACCCGGATTACACGCGTATGTTGCCGTCTGACCGTACGTTGTTCCAGAATAATCAGGTGTGGCATTCCCAACAGCATCCGGCGTTCCACAATCTTTTACTATAAATCGAAAATGTTGGTTCAATTATACCATATACAGATACTACCAATGACGCCAGAACACTATATGAAAGTAACGTGCA